AGGTCACATAACCTGGCCAACTACAGTGCATCTTCTGCCAACTTACATAGTCATTACATAGACATTATTTCAAGAGGGGAGCCCCGCTCGTAACATTGACAGTGTCAAGCGCTGTATATTGGCCTGATGAATACTTTAAATTAACTCATACGTCAACTCTTTTGGTCACAAAGACTGCAGTGTGCCTTTAACAACACATGATTAAGCTCAACCCCCATACTTTACCTGCACAGGAAGAACACAAAGAACCCAAAATAGAAGTTTTTACCAAAACTCTGAGCACTACCTAGTGGTATTAACCAATAAAACTGCACTGCGGATTGTTTCAGACATTAGACAATTCTAATTAGTCCTCTTTATATTGTTTTGGCAACATAACTGCATAAAATACAAAACATCACAATCCAAAGTATTAAGTAAAAAAAACTAAGCAATGTTTCTGCAAATAAACATTAATATTAATGTCAATTGTAATCTCACTAAAAAAGAAACATTAAAAGTGTGCAACACGGTAAAAACCTGCTGTGCCATAGGTATGTTTATCCTCTAAATTTAATATTATCAAATACATAAAAAGATTTCTAAAATACCAGAATGTAAGATAAGAATGATTTGGCGTGAAAACAAAATGCCTATACCAAAAAAAATAAAAAAATGAAATTAAACCAAATAAAAAGCAAGCAAGCTCTAAAACTGGACTTCTGTTATAACTAAGAATAAAGAATTACAGAAGTGAACACCCGCTTTTCTCTGGAAACAAAATCTTGTCTTTCATGTCCTTAATTTCTTGTTTGTGTTTTTTCATCAGTTCATCTATTTCTTCTTTCTGACTGTCTCCATCCTGGATGGTTTCTCTTAGTTGCCTAATCTCTTTATCATGTTTTTTTTGTAATTCCACAAATTTCTCTTGATATATTTGTCTACTATCAGCAGAAACTGCTGTAATAAATGTCTTCAGTTTTTCATCATGTTCTTTTTGTAATTTATCCAGCTCTGTACTGCATTTCTTTTTGAGATCTTTTTCTACTTCTTCAGTTTCTTTTTTCCGTCTTGAATCCAATTCGTCTATTGCGGAGCTCGTATTTTCTTTGTCCAAACTTTCTTTCTCCAAGGATTTTCTTTCCTCTTCATATTTTCTCTTCAGTTCATCAAGTTTGTTACTCTTTTCTTCATTGCTTTTTTTCTCCAAATCTTCCTTTGCCTTCTTGTGTTGTTTTTTCATTTCTTTGATTTTGCCTTGGTGTTCTATTTTATTCTTCTCTTGAGTCAGAAGCAGTAGTATCAGGTCTGTCAACTCTTCCTTATGCTTGTCCTGCAGATTATCTATTTGATGCTTCAAACTTTCCTCATTTTCCTGCTGCTTCTGCTCCATTTTTTTCTGATGTTGTTTCTTCAGGTGCATCACTTCTTCCATGTGATCATCTATCAACTTTGAAAAGTTCTTGTTCATCTTTTCTTTGAATTCATTATGTTCCTCTGCTTGTTTTCTCGCCCTTTCTTCAAAACTAATCTCCATAACCTTAATTTGGGTCTTATATTTTTCTTCTAATTCTTTTCGCTCTTTCTCTTCTTGTTCCCTTCGAACTCGATCTTCTTCTCTCCTTTTACGTTCAGATTTTTCTCTTTTTTGCTCATATTCTTCATGCAATGATTGAAGTCGTTCTTGTTCTTTTTGATGTCTTTCCTTGTCCTCTTTGTGTCTCGTCTCCCACCATTCTTTTCTCTCTTTCTCCCAACTTTCTTGTTGCTTCTTTAAGTCTTCTTGCCTCTCCTCCAGTTTTCGGTCTGTCATTTCCTCTAAGGCTTTCAACTTTCTTTTCCAGTTGTTGAGTTCAATTTCATCAGATTCTCTCCTTTTCTTTTCTTCTTCTTCCCTCGTTTGTTTTTCTCTCTCTCTTTGTTGTTGTTCATTTTTTATCTTGATCTGAATTTCTTGAAGTTGCTTCTCTCTTTCTTCTCTCTCCTTTTCAATCAAATGTTTCTCTTTTTCTAATCTTTCTTTAAGATTTTGCATATCTTCTTTGTGTTTTCTTTCAAGATCTTCTTTCATTTTCTGCATCTCTTCTTCCTTCTGCTTTAGGATTCTCTTCATTTCTTTCTGTATGGCAGCTTCAGCCTCTTGCAGCATCTCATTGGTGAAGCAGCAGCCTTCATTCTTCTTCACCATATTGTCAATTTTTCTAATCAGCTCAATAATTTGTCTTTCATCCTTTTTGTTGTTAGAGAACACATGATATCTTCCTCCACAGTCAGCCAGAAGCTGTTTGAAAGAATCATCACAATGTTTCTTAATGTACTCTTCTATAGATATTGTACCAAGTTCGTCTCCTCTGGTTAAAAGAATGATGGTGAACTTCTCACAATTCTTCCCAAAACCTTTTTTGATCAAATTCAATGTTTCCTTCTCCTCTGGTGTGAATCTTCCAATTGAAACCACCAGCAGGAAAACATGTGGACCTGGAGCCAGAAGACTGATGCATTTTGTCATCTCATTATTAACTTCTTCATGTGAGAGAGTCGAGTCAAACAGACCAGGAGTGTCAACAACAACAACGCGACGCCTGTCCACCTCACTCTCAGCTTTCTGACAACATTTTGTTATGGATACTTGACTGGAAAATGCTTCAAATTCTTTTCTTCTCAGAATGGTGTTTGCTGAGGAGCTTTTTCCACTGCCAGTTTTTCCAATCAGAACGATCCTTAAACTCTCCGAGGTCTTCTTCTCTTCCTCACCTGCAACAATCAAACAAAGTTATTTCTCTGTTGGTTCAGCTGTGAATTAGCAGCTCTTGCTTTAGTCACAACTGTATGTCCCGCCTTACAACATAATACTGTAACATAATTGGCTAACCCATTTGTGTTGGCCTCCTAGTGTTTGAGCTGCAGATTTACAATTGATCCTGTGTTTGTGACCCACAAACACCACCAAAATTCAGCTGGCAGGAAAGGTTATCCAAAAGTATTAACAAAGAAATTAGCAATGAACTGTGGATCTCTCTTACATTAGCTATCCCCAGTATATTCTTTGATCCCTGTAATAGTCCAAATATAAATTATATAGTTTGGTGAATTTGGCTACCTGGTAATGATATTTTACAATCTATCTTCCTACTACTGAATGAGATACAAAGGTGCAGAAAGTCCAAGTAATGCTGTAAAGGTTTAATTGAATTCATTGTAGAAAGTTAAGCTTTAATAGCATCAGTGTTGTTTTCGTCAATCATGATGATTACAAAATTATTTTGCTGACGCTCCTTTTTTCATAATGATAACGAGAACTGAAGAGCTAGACATAGATATTTGATGATGAAAACATGTCAAGTCATGGGTTGAATTTTTGTTCATGAGACGAGAATAAATACAAATTTCATCAGGTCAGGCATTTGAAATGCAACATTGCATTATATATATATATATATATATATATATATATATATATATATATATATATATATATATATATATATATATATATATAAACTGCAGGTTCTCTAGTAGTTCTTCCTTGGAGTCAACAATAAGTGCATGCTGGCCGCTGAAATGTTTAGCCACTGTCACAAGCTGCAATCTCACTGTGCTCAAAAAACAAAAAAGGGGTAAAGCAACAACCCCCATCACATTGACTGAGTTAATGAGTTAAATGATGAAATGCATCAAAAATAACTTTGAAAGTATGTCTGCGAGGAGG